GGGACAGATTCGTTATCAAACTAGATTACTATCTAATCAAATGCTCACCTGTGTGTGTAGTAATACTTACTTCCATCGGTCTTTAGTAAACAGGCAAGATAAGTTTGATAGTTGACTTATTATTGATACTGCTCGTAGATATCTCATCTTATTTGAATTAACATTGAGTACAAGAGGAGAAGAGGGGGTTTGCAAATAAATCAGTTCTTAGATTATGTTTATGGTTCAAAAATGCTGTAATACGGAACGAGGGGACCCGTTTAAAACTGACTCAAGAAATAAATTAAACGTGAGGGGGGTGAAGCCTGGAGTCATTCGCAGGTGCGCTAGAGTATACACTTTAAAATGACACGCCAATCTTAAAGATCGGTTGAGTAACGGCTGGAAAATAGATGTTACAGGGAAAAACTTTATTGTATTAAGTGTATAGATGGATAATAATAAAAATTTAAGAAATATACTGTATATATTTATGCTATTTACTTTTTCATACTGATGTAAGCATCCCATCTGTGGATCAGCTGTAGCCAAATTTTCGTTTAAAAAAAGGTAAGATTGACCATTTACAGATGGAGGTATTGTTAAATTTATATTTTCTCTGTTGGAATTTGTCCCTGTAAAAGTTGATGTGACATAAAAGTTGCTATAGTTTATCAAATAATAGTTATTTGTGTAACTAGTGGTGAAAGTGGCACTTTGCTGCACACGAGAGCAATGTTTACGCACGAGCCGCAGGCGAGTGCGGAATGATCTCGAGTGCAGCAAAGGCCTTTTTCACTCGTGTTACACATTATATTTTTCCTACAGTCACTATAAAACATAAATAATTAGTCTTTCAAACACTATACAACACGTTTTTAGGTTCAGCTAGCAACACAATTACACAAATGGTGCCCTGGAGAAAGTAGTACCCGTGGTCCGTATTACTCCGCTATTTTTCCTCGGCAAGAAATGTGCTCCGTCTTTTGAGAATATAGTTCCGTATGTTTTTGTAATTTGAAGTGGTTTCCGCGCCTAAAAAAATTGCTTTAAAGGTATTTTCTTGTTTATTAAGACCGTAGGAATGTTTTAAAAACGTTTAAAAGAAAAGTCCAGAAAGTTCAGAAATACCAAAACTATAAACACGAAATGACAGGTTAAATCGTAGTTATAATAGTCAATCAGCTGTTCATAGTATTATTATCTTTAAGTGTTGCCAACCTATTTCCAAGCGTACACGGATTACGTGCATAATAAAACCACGCTGTTTTGTGTTGTTTGGTTGGAATCCTGATGTGCGGCAAAGTATAAACCGTGCGGCAAAGTATAAACCGTGCGGCAAAGTATAAATATGCAGCAATTAGCAGCTTTCTGTACTATAAACAGTACAGGGAAGCCAACTTTGTCGGGTGACTGTAGGAAAAATATATTTCCTAATTGATTGATTTATCATCTTAATAGGCCAACTGGAGACAAATTATTGTTATAGTTGGAAGTAAGGTGCTAAACATCAGTATTTGATAGAAACCATTGTTAGTGTCTTCATCTGATCTACTAGGAAGATAAATTCATTTAATTATGCTTAACTTTTCCTACCCTATCCCTGTTTTTGTTTTTTAGCAAAGTGGTCCATTGTTTTATAATCTTTTTAGCGTGGAGTTGCGTAACGAAGACGACCTTTCAGGTCACAAATTCATGTTCAGGTAGACATCTGAAGGTTTTTTCCTGGTCCTGTGAGGAGCTGGTGTCGTTTTTTCGCCCACCTCAACATTCAACATCCTGCTATATCAGAACGAGTCTCTTTTCCTTGAGGAAAATGTATTCGTCAACCGTGAAAAAAATAATTAGGTGGCATTCTGTCCGAGAAGAAAATTGAAAATCTTTAAGCTTGAACGAAAACACGATTCTTTCTTTTGTGTTATTTGTAATGTTTGATATTTTTCTGTGCGTATTGTGGGTGTATTACATCTATTATTATTCCATCGTAATTTTACATTGTTAATTATAGAATATACAAAATATGTTTATTTATTTCTTATTTGTAGATCATGTGAGCGTGAAAACGCCGAATTTGAAACTATGCATTTGGATTCAGAATTTCAAAATCCAACAATGTTGTTGCCTATATCAATCAAACTAAATAACCATTTGTATTGCATTCACTTTTTCTAGAAAAATACGTTTTACGGCAAAAAAAAAAATCTTCGGCAAAGTTATTAAACAGTCATTTTAAATGCGAGAAAATTCTGGATTAATTTGATATCGATTTTCAGCTTTTCAGGCATGAAATATTCTTATTTGAAGTTTAGTTAGCATGAACTAACCTATAACACGACCGATTTTTAGTTAAACCTTAGACAACCCGTCTTTTGCGTTCATTCATGTTCATATATTTATCTTATAGCTATCCTTATGCCACCCGGGGAGCGAGCTGGTCTAGTGGTTTGAGCACGGGACTTCGGGTTCAAATCCCGCCAAATCACCAATGGAGTGTGATAATGCCGTAACCCCTAGGTCTAGCCTGAAGTAATTTGATAAACAATCGCGGGCCAAGTGCCTAGCGTCTTAGGAAAAAAAATCCTAATGCCGCCTTTTCACTTTATTTTACAGAAATTCCTCCCCGTAAAATATATTAGTAAGGTGTGAAGAAGATCGGCCACTGAACAGCCAATGCTTTTACAAGGGTTAAAGGTCACTGTCGATAGTTTTAAACTGTGAAAATTCAAATTCCCGGAACTCACGAACTATAGTGTACTGTAGGTTGTAGCATAGACAATAATGTCGTAGGTTGGATAACCGGATTCTCAACACGCAAGCTAAGTTACAGATCATCAGCTGTTTTTTTAGCGTTGTATCCAGCTGTTTATCGTATAATCTGCAACACCTACCTTGATGTCAGGATGATAAAATATTGTGTACGTGTAACAAGGAAATTATACGTTTTGGCTGTTGAAAAGGAAACATGCTTTTTATTAGGGGTTGTCCTTCAGAGTAATGTGTCAGATGATGTAAAATCATGAAGTCCTATTTTTGAGTAAGGATTCTTGCGTCAATGCTTACTTAGGTTGTAGGTTATCCACCACATAACAATCTAATTATGACATGGCCCATGGTAAATAGATTTTTCCTACAGTCACCCGACAAAGTTGGCTTCCTTGTACTGTTTATAGTACAGAAAGCTGCTAATTGCTGCATATTTATACTTTGCCGTACGGTTTATACTTTGCCGTACGGTTTATACTTTGCCGCACATCAGGATTCCAACGAAACAACACAAAACAGCGTGGTTCTATTATGCACGTAATCCGTGTACGCTTGGAAATAAGGTTGGCAACACTTAAAGATGATAATACTATGAGCAGCTGATTGACTATTATAACTACGATTTAACCTGTCATTTCGTGTTTATAGTTTCGGTATTTCTGAACTTTCTGGACTTTTCCTTAAAACGTTTTCAAAACATTCCTACGATCTTAATAAACAAGAAAATACCTTTAAAGCATTTTTTTAGGAGCGGAAACCACTTCAAATTACAAAAACATACGGAACTATATTCTCAAAACGCGGAGCACATTTCTTGCCGAGGAAAAATAGCGGAGTGATACGGACCGCGGGTACTACTTTCTATAGGGAGGCCACCATTTGTGTTGCCAGCTGAACCTAAAAACGTGTTGTATAGTGTTTGAAAGACTAATTATTTATATGCTTTATAGTGACTGTAGGAAAAATATAATGTGTAACACGAGTGAAAAAGGCCTTTGCTGCACTCGAGTGCCACTTTCACCACTAGTTACACAAATAACTATCTCTGCAGCGCCCTCCACAGCTGCGCGCGCTGCTGGCACTGCCGCTCAACACATCCCCACCTAAAAGACGAGCAAGTTGTATGTCGGCCGGGTCGATTGACGAACAGTTTGTTTCTCGCATATAATAATTTAGTTTTACAGGTCGGTCAACTGGACTGACGACGAAATGACTTGTCGACGTACTGGTTTTCAGTATTTATCTATTTAATTAAAAAAGACTGTCTAGTGGCCAGACGACCAAGTATCTTGTCGGTCTACTGGTGGCCCCCCTTTTCTAGTAGAGAGAAAATTCCACTTCTTGTCTGAAAATTGTATTATTTTCATTATGAAGCACATAGAGCGTAAGATGGGTTCCGAACCACCAGGTCTCATAATATCCACAGTCTTTTGGATTATCCTGTGGCTAAAACACGATTAATTGTTTGTGGTGATGGCAGGATTTGAAAGTATGGACAGAAGTCCCGCGCTTTAATCTATAGACGCATAATGTAACCAACCTGTGATTTAATGGGCAATATTTATTTACATGAGTCCATTAATCTTATACTCTCATACGAGCTATGTCTGGTTGTGCGTTTGTTTGTGGGTCTGTAAAATTTATCTTGAAATCAATTGGAATGATTAAAACTTAATTGGTGAAAGCCACAACAGTACGAAAACTTATATTTCACAACACATCTCTTTTGGAAATAACAAAAATTAACAATAACCCCTTATATTTTTCGCCTCTGGAAAAATAAAATGAAAAAGTAAATCAGTCCCGGGTCCTGGTTTTACCATAATACCTAAGGTAATAGCTTATTTTCTATATTGGAGTTGTTGAACAAGTTTATGAATACTCTAGTCTTTAATTTTTTTCTTTAAGTTTGGGAATGAGCACTTCATAACCAGAAAATAAATTATTGTTGGTATAACATATTTATAATCTATCAATAAAACTTTAAGCACAAGATAAAAATTTTATAGTGTGACTTTTGTGAGCGCCTGCAAAATGTAAGCCGATTTCTGCAGTACATAACAGTGTTGGAATATTGAAACGTAAACTGAAGGAGTTTATATGCTGTTTACATGTTTGTAGAAGAGAAATTAAATTAAATTAAAAACGTTTATTTACCCCAATGTAGATAAAAAATTTGAACCAAACAGAGAGTACAGTATACAACATTAAGTTGAAATTTGCCGTACTTATGGGATAGGCCTACATGGCAGGTGCCTGTGCGTAGGAATAATATGTATTTGCTTTCTTCTAGGTAAATCCATAGATTAAACATAATCCTCACAGATATTGAAACAATGTCAATTTTATTGGTAACAACCTAAAGACAATCCAGAGAGCAAAGTCTAGTTGGAAGTTGGAAATGGAGAAGATGGAAAACACCTCAATTGCATTACAACAACTGATCATTTTTCCCTCTCTTAGGCTTCTTTTTGTTTTTTCTTCCCTTGGGCGCGTGTTTTAATGACACATTGCTGGTATCCAATACTCTAGAAGTTGCATATTTGGGATGGATCTGAAACAATAATGTGATGTGATTATTGCAGTAGTATTGCAGGTCTTCAAGTGTGGTAAGAAGAAACAAATCTAAAAAAAACTCAACTCACCATAGGGTGTCTGACAATAAAAATACCTAGGGATGGACCAAAATTAGCCACTTCTTGCAGAATTAAGTTGAAGTGTCAAAAGCTAGAGAGGAATGCCTTCACAGAAAGTGGTAAGGGAAACCAAACAATATAGTAGTACCATCTTCAGACGAGAGCTACAAGTGGCCAACAACCTACTATCTTCAATATTTCTTCAGATTATAACAACCTACATGTTCTAGGAAGACCAAGACCTCAACTGATGGCATCTCAGACCAATCTTCCCAGTTTCACTTCAAGGATTCTCTCCTTGGTGACTTAATTAGTACCCACACCCTCAAGGCCAGCCCAAGATATTAGGTGGACTGCTGAGGGGTGCCGGGTGGATGCTACCAAGCCTCTTTTGTATGGTGTCTGAACGGTACCTGAAGGATATCAGGCACCCTCCTGCAGTAAGCAGCCTTTCCCTGGGCATGCGGGGCTCTGTCCAGGCCGAATTCAGATCCGTAGCGAGAAGCTCGTGGGAACGCAGGCTAGTACTGCAAGTCATGGGAAGGGAGGTAAAATTTCATGATCTTTGAAGAACTACCCGAAACCAGAAGAACCTGGTGGATAGGACAATCCCCGTAGAGTAGTGCAGAGCGGGGCAGGAACCCGCTGGTACCTACGCTTCTTAGAACAGGGCATGGAACCTGAAGAAGCCAGGAAGAAAAAGGAGGAAAGGAAGGCATCAGCAGCGCAGGACAAACCGGTGCATACAAAGGGAAAAAGGGGGACACAAGAAAGTACCTCTCACACAGTGTCTGATTTATGTACTTTCGGCCCAAGTCCAAATCAACCCTAGCGGCTCTGTGCTTTTAAACAGAACTTTCTCATTACCCGTGGTCACTGCAAAATCATGAATACTTCACATGATCACAGGAAGATAATTATCTTCACCTGTAATCATGACAGATTACCTTTTTTTAAAAGAAAAATTATATACAAAACGCTGCGGTCCCTTTTGTTTGCAGTCCAAGGTGGCAGCCAAGTCAGACTTGCGGTAAATTTGACACTGCTCCTACACAATGATGATTTCTTCCGTATCAAGAGCTGAAGGAGAAAGGCAAAGCTTGGGATTGAATAAAGAGAGAAGAGAGAAGCAACCAACAGAATGAAGAGGAGAGGAACAGGACATTTTCCTATGAGAAGGAGTGAACCAGGACAAGACAAGTTAGCAGCCATTACAAATGTTCTAAATATCAGGACACATATCGTATTTTCACTTTAGCACAGTAAACCTTCATGAAGAATAAGCTAGTCTATAAACAATTAATACTAAGGCTGTGGCAAAAACAATCGTAGTTAGCTAGAGATACCAAAAATGTCCTTTTTCATAATTTGTTTAACTTTGGAATAGTTAATTTCATACCCTGTATTGAGCAGGTCCCGGAGTAATTTCAACAGTTTTGCTTCTTAATTTCATTCCAATAACTCCAGATTTTGAATTCAAAGACGATTGAGTTGTGTCATAAGTGTCTGGACCTGAAATAACAAAATTTTGAAAAATGTTTATTGCTCAAGGTAAAAATGTGTAATGCAAAACTAAGGAAGACATGCTATTTAGCTGTATTTAGATAAATTGCCTCTTCTTAAAACGATCCGATTTTACTGTTTTGTAAAATCAGATTTTATTCAGAAAAAATTCAAAACAATTACACAAAAATAGCCACATTGTGTAACTAGTGGTCGAAGTGGCACTTAGCTGCACACAAGAGAAATGTTTGGATGTGCACACGAGCCGTATGTGAGTGGTGTGCAAAGTTTCTCGAGTGCAGCAAAGGCAGTTTGCACTCGCGTTACACCTTATATTTTTCCTACAGTTACTATAAAACATATAAATAATTAGTCTTTCGAACACTGTACAACACGTTTTTAGGTCTCCAGGTTATATCCAAACATTGAACGAAATGGTAAACGCTGCACCAGCTGATCGTAGTCGTAATATCTTTAAGTGTTGCCAACTTATTTTCAAGCGTACACGTATTACGTGCCTAATAAAAGCTGTTTTGTGTTGTTTGGTTGGAATACTGGTGTACGGAAAAAAACTGTACAAAAAAGTAAAAAGTGTGCGACTAAAATAAGTAGATGCAGCAATTAGCAACTTTCTGTGCTATAATCAGTGCAAGGAAGGCCACTTTGTCAGATAACTGTGGGAAAAATTATGTTTTAAATCCAAAATTTGTTTTTAAGCATACTACTTTAGTAGGCCTACCTACTTAATTTAGTTTCCCGAATACCAAACACATTGACGTTTAATGATGATAAGTTTACCAACCTGGGCTATAGGATCTTCTCAGTGGTTTTATTCTCTCACTCGAAGTCAAAAATGCTGAGCATTTCTGTTGCAAATGGCTCGTGTGGGAAGACAGCAGCTTAATGGATTCACTCACAGAATATGTATTTGGTCCTGGCAAATTCTGTCAACAAGAAACATTACTTTTAGTGTTTAATATTTTGAGCTCATATGATGGAGTGGGAGGTCCTTCAAACGGAAGACCCTCCTCTTCTTAGGGGAAACTAAGGTAAAGTATAAAGTTATCAATACAAAGGGCTGATATTTAAATAGGAAACGAGAAATTTATTGTTGGTAAAAACTACTGGGGATTTAGGTTGAATCTGGTTTTAAGTAAAAACTTTCTGAATTTAAACTTTAGTTGTATAGGTTTTGCAGAGAGTTTGGCTATTAATTTATCTAAACTTACACTTTTGTGATAGCTAAGTTGATCCAATAAGAAAGGAAGGATAACAAATCACAGTTATTATTTGACTCAATAAAACCTTAAGATATTTACCTGATTTACAATGCTGAGACCTCTTTCTACCCCTGAGGCAAACATAGAGCTTTGGTTTTTGTCTCCCTTTTGCTGGAACTGAATTTTTACTCAAATAAACTTTAAGTTATTCACATTGCTTATGATATTAGTTTAGTAAATAAAGCTGCTTAAAATAATAGTGGATTTGAACTTACATTATTGAGATTACATACAGTTAAGTTATTATCCTTACCACTCAGAGGACAGTGGAAATGGCCAGCATGGAAATAATCAAACACTTAGGAGACCAGCATCTTTAGCTGGAAGACATCACTTTTCATCATATTACACATTCTTTTTTTTACAAAATGTATATTAGTTCTTATGTAGTGATGATATCTTGGGAGCAGCTTTTAAACTAAAATAGTTCTGAACTGAGGGGGAAAGCTGTCATGATATAAAGATAAAAGTGACCATAACTGTGTGAGTGGTGAGCTGATGTTGAAAGAATTCTCAAGGCCGTTTTAAGTTGGGCCCGGGCCCAGGAGCTTAAGAGGGTTTACGTTTTTTGGGGAAGCAAGGAAGAGAATAATTCCCCCACAAAGTAGGTGGAGAGAGGGGCAATCATCTCTCGGGCCCATAGTGCATCAGAAGCAAACATCGTGCCTGATTCACGATGTTCATGACAACAATGTGGCCAGTAACCTGGCCAACCAAGTACAGAGGATTAAATGTCAGAATGCTTATTTTCACTGAAAACGAAAAACACTACTACCAGGGCTAAATAGGTTTGTATATTTCACACATTCCGTTCACTAAATTTAGGCGGTTTTAGGGAAAGAAATCTATTCCCTCCACTTGATCCTACCTTTTAAAACAACAGCTCAACAGCTGATGTTTGCCAAAACGTCAGTCAGCATCTTCAACATCAAGGAAAAAAGTAGTGGGGAACTTCCCCTCAAACCGCCTAAATTTTGTGAACAGACTATGGTTAAAAAGCTCACAGTACTGATTACAACGTACCTTCGGGTAGTACAAGTCTGGTCCTGGGATACACAAAACATCAGGTTTTGTAGTTCCAGTGTTCCTACTTGAGCTACTGTCAAAAGGAGCTGAAAACTGGGAATATCTGGAGTTTTCCCTCTTCTTCACTTCATTCCACAGTCCAAATTTTGGGGTGTAATCAGCTGGTCCTACAATAAAACAAAGTGATTGATCAAGAAGAGTTTTATTCATAATCAATGTGGATTGTGCAAGAATGGTCTAGTAGACTTCTATCCTGAATGTTAGGTTGTATTTGCCCATTCACCATGATGAAAATTTACTTGATAACACCGTGGCCTGACGATTGTGGCCCACCTTTAAGTCAAACTTATTAAACGAAAAAATTGTCTCCTACCACAAAAATTCATATGATAAATTGAGATAAATTCATGAAGTAACAATTAAGTGACACAGAATAACCTGATAAAACTCGAAGGTGTAATTGGGTGTATAGGAATAGTATATTTCATTACTAGGACCAAAAGTGACATTTTCGGTCGCACGCTCAAGTTTTTGTGTGAGGCGAAGCTGAACACAGGGAACCCCAATTTCACGTGCAAGGCGAAGCCGAGTATGTGAGAGCTATTTTCACGTACGAGGCGTAGCCGAAGATGGGAATAACGGAGCAAGTGCTGGATGATAACTTTCGGTACGAGTTATGAACGATACTTTTCATCACGACACAAAAACACACTAACACAGTTAGCAGACCTCAGTAATATTACAACTATTTTATTTCTCAATTAATTTGATTGGACATCAAAATAAAATTAAATCTTCTAAAAGGAAACCTACGTATATTTGTTAATAAATTTTGTTTAAAAATGAAAATAAAAGAATAAAACAACTTTAAACAATACATACAGCTGATTCAAATCATTAAATTAAACCGTAAGAAAACACTAGCGCGCGTAGATAATAAATGTAGAACTAATTGAGAGCGAGGGAAAATCAGCTGATCGATTTTCCCTCGCCCTAAATTAGAGCTTGAGAATCGACTACTTTCATTGATGTCAGCTGTTATCGAAAATAGTTACTTTCATTACGGAGTGAAGAAAAATTATAAACTCCAGTCTGCAATGATTTCAAATAATCACTGGTTAAAAATCAAACAAACTACTCGTAAGGATCTTGAGCAATGAAACAACAAACAACTTAAGCTAAAACGTATGTATTTTGCTGTTATCTCTGTGTGTAAATAACATTTTATTTGTTAATTCTGGCTTAGGTTCACTTTGAGGATGAATTGCGCAGTTGGACAATCGGTTGGTGATTCTCTGTATTTCAAAACATCTTACACAACAGAAAAGTCATACGTAATTTTAAAATCTAATGGATGTTGTCAACATCAATAATGTTCTATTCTGCAAATATACAGAGTGGCACTCGGGAGACGGACGGTTTTCATCTGTGCAGTACCATTTGAGAGTGTGGCCGTGGGAGGTGGTCATGAAAATGCATAGCTCTACTCTACACAAGACACCATTTCATTAACTCAGTCACTATGGAAATGGAACAGTGGGACTTGCAACGTCAATTGTTTGACTATAGCAGTTTCATAAGAAGTGGTAAGGCCATTTACAGCTACACGGCGATTGTTTCTTGCACGGTTTAGTGTAGATCGACATTGAGCTGTTCCGAGCCCTAAAACAACAATCCTCAGATTGGTGACAAACTTCAGATTGACTGGAAACATACTGGATTCAAAATTAGTCTAACCAATTCACGATTAATTCGTAGCTCACTAGCATGATGTCTAACTGACCGTCCTGGGCTTCTGTCTGACTGCTTCTTCCCTTACCCTTTCAACATTTTCTGGTGTCGTTACAAAGTGTTTGTGGCCAGGATGCATCTTATCCAGTATGTTTCCAGTCAATCGGATGTCTTTCACCCATCTGAGGATGGAACAGCTCAATGTCGACCTATATTAAACCGTGCATGAAACAATCACTGTGTAGCTGTAATAGACTCACAACTTTTCATGAAAATGCCATAGCCAAACAATCGACGTTGCAGGTCCCACTGTTCCATTGTGACTGAATTAATGAAATTGTGTCTTTTTTAGAGCAGAACTATGCCCACGACAACCACCTCCCATCCCACCACCACACTCTCAGTACTGCCTAGATCAAAACCGTCAGTCTCCCTGTATGTTCTAAGATAGAACTGATAGATGTCTGATAGAAAATTACTGCTATGAACTTGATCTTGGTTGAAGCCAACAAAAAAAGCTTTTATAGTTGCTCGATCTAATTAAGATCTTTAATGTGCCGTATGTTTTTTACTTCTTTTAATCAAAATCTTACATATAAAGTTGGACATGAATCACATTACATCAAACACAAAATCAAATTGACTGCAGAAATTAAATTGTATGTTAACAAAATTAAGTTTTCAATACCATATCAAAGTTTTAATACCGTTACCAAACTCAATAATGTTCTATTCTGCAAATATATAATCTAAGTAAGAACATACACTTAGAATATGGACTTTGACAACATCCATTACATTTTTCAATTCTTAGTTATTTATTCTTGGAATTATGTGTGCTCCTGTATGTAAGCTGCTGGCTTAATCATGACTTGACAACAAAATCATCAAAAATTCATTTAAAACCAGGACACAACATAACGTAAGATGATGTGAGATGGGTAGGATGTGTAGCTTTATTGTCCCTTTAAGTAGCTTTATTGTTTCACAAGTTCAGCTGTTTCATCAATTGGATAGATAAGCTAATTTCAAGTTGTTAGTTAATTTCATGTTGTTAGTTATAATTTCATGTTATTTCTGTGTCTGGGGTTGAAGGTATGACTACTGTCTTACATATAATTATCAGTCATGTTCATTTTCATGCGTCACTTTGGGACTTCAAAATCCGTGATATATATTTAATAATTAACAATTTTCTATTGCAAATCCTATCAAAACACAAGATCTAACGTAAGTTATTTTCTATTTTACATTTCATAAAAGTAACATTACAATATTTTTTCTCGAATTCTAAAACTGTTTTTCTTGTGGGGCCTTGGATAACCCCATTTTCGTATGAATTTAAACAAAAATTGTATCATGGCCTTCATTAAGGTTTTGATGTAAGCAAATGTAAACTTGAAAAAGTTCAGATGATTGACAACAGAATTCAGCACAAACTCTGAAACTTTAAAAGCCCATAGTACAAAGGGCTTTCACGAGATATCATCCAAACCCGCAAAAGGCACATCTAGAGGATACGAGCTTTAAATTGATACCCAATATGCATATAAAAATAAATACCTAGGGGTCGATTTGCTGAATACGAAAATTCAATAAACTATTTTAATAACATAGATTCCAATTGAAATAATAATCCACAATCAAACATAGATATTGGTATAAAAACTAAATTTTGTTACCATACAATTTTATATCTGCAGCCAATTTCATTTTGTGTTTGTTTGTTGTAAGATTCCTGTCCAACTTTATTTAAGCTTTTGATTAAAAGATTAGCATTATGTTAAATATCTAAGATAGAGCAATTCTAAAAGCTATTAGTGTTGGTTTAAATGTTATCTAAGTTCAATCTCATAGTAGACATTTTCAGTTCTTTAAGAGTGGATTTTATCCAATCCTCACCTGGAAGTGGGCCTTGGTGTGATGGAGCAAAGCGGTGTGCTGTTATGTTGAAAGGAGACACTGTAGGGAGAGCTCTCTCTATGGAGGACCTAGGATCACAGTAGGCTGCTGGTCCCGGCCCGTCATCGTCAGTACGGTGTAAACTCCCTCGCTGGAATTTCACAATGTTGTTTGGTATGAGATAAACATACCGTAACTGTGGAAGGGGGTTTACGGTATCTCTGTAATTTTTATTTTTATTTAATCTTATTGAATGGCTTTTAGGGGAGGTATATTAGATTAGATTGGAATACTATCTAACTATATTTTATTTCAAGACCCAGTTTCAAGAACATGAATTACATTACTTAGATTACCTTTGTTGTTGTAGCCTGCAGTTCTTTAATAGGTAAGATGTTTGTGTCATCCTATGCATTTCGCCAGCTTGTGTGCCTATACTGTTAAAAAAATATCCAGTATTTATAAGTCCAGTAGTTCGGATAATGTGACTACGGACACGCAGCGGTGTGATTGTGTTGATCGAGCAGCCGTCACACAGCCCAAATACCCCCACCCCCGACCAAGAAATGAAACGGAGGAAGAAAGACCTATTGACGTGTCCTTCTTCACGTTGTCCGATCGACTTAACCGTGATACTAGTTACCGATTGTATGTAAATATATTTTTTAAATACAGTATAGACTGTTAGTGATAAGAAGACCTCTGAAGATGTCACGCAAGCTGGCGAAATGCATAGGATGGCACAAACATCTTACCTACCCAAGAACTGCAGGCTACAACAACAAAGGTAATCTAATAGCTAAGTAAATGGGTGGTTCTGGTTTGCCATTTGGATCCTAAAAAATGAAGTGCTTTTTGATGGTTAAAAATGGACCAATTTGTTCTTTATGTCTTATAATAAGTGACCCTGGGTCTAGAAACAGTGGTGATAGTCAGTAACAAATCTACACTAAAGTATATCCCATCTTAGTTCTTAGTTGATAATTTATTAATACATATTCTCACCAAAAACCTACCTTTGCTTTAGAGAATGTTCCCCCAACTCCACATTCACACTTTTTCAAATGTGAGTCATTTTGAGAGTAAGCCCCAGGCCCTGGCAGATTCTTTAACAAATAGAAACAGTCAAAAATGTATTTCTCTCATCTCAATAATTGAGATGAGGTTTTCCAAGAGTTGGCAAAGTAGGTAAAGTTATGTTAAGGTACTTGTTACACAATTCACTCATCAGAAGGTATACTATATTTAAATTCATTGTTAAGACCCTGAGCTGTAGATATTTATTGTAAGAATAAATTACTTAAGTCAAATAGCTCAATACTGGATGGTGAGTTTCATTCAGAACATGTTTCGACACATTGTGTCATCATCTGCTGAGTACTTTTACTTGTGAAGTTTTTTATTCCACCAGATGGCTTCGTCATTCGTACTGTCCCCGACCCGGCGTGATTGTATGTTCGTTAAATTACATAGTATTATTTTAAACACTATATCAGCCACCCCAACGTTTCAAGAACCAGCTAACGTAATGGCTCCAAGGAAGACCCTACTACTCAGAATCAGAATTCCTGAACACCTGACACAGCGCCGCTGCCGACGAGAGCTCTCTCTGGGCATCAAAATGTTAACTTTGTGTTATCACATTTATATAAAAAAAAACAAAAAAATCTTGAGCATTGTATAACTTTGACAATCTAAAATCTTTTGTTTTGACGCATGTACTATTCTCCCACGAATATGTAAATAAAGAACATTGTCTATTGTCTATTGTCAGCTAAAATAAGTATTGATCATACATTTCAGAAGTAATGAAAGTACACAATGTTCAAACAATTGATTAATCGCCTACCTCTCTGCAAAGTTTTCGAAGAAGAACATCATCATGTCTAAGCGAAGGTGCGTTGGCTTGATTCCTACTCCGTAGCTGCTCTTGGCATTTCTTCCATGGAGATTCCTGCTTTTCATTGATAGAATAGTCTGCTGGACTAGGCCCATCAGATATTTTGTATTTAAACCTTGTTGCTGTCTTATGAGACCAGAAATTACCTTTGTACTGCAAAGTCGTGAAGTTATCGTGTCCCTGGAAGATGAATTATTTTGTGTTTGAAAATAACCTTTTTCGTGAGATAAAACTTTAAGTAGGTACCGTACTTCAGTTTTAGAGTACTAGTAGGATATATTTAAAATGTATGTCTACTTTGAAGTAGGACAAATAAGTAGGTATCATTTTTTAAATGTGGTAAATTTTTTATTGGACGTTAAGAAGATTGAACATTTCTGGATATTCTCTAAAAATAGTTCGATAGAGGGTTAAAATAACCATAAAATTGTGTTAACTGTAATCACAGAAGTGATCAAAATTTGTATTTAAGTCCACCACTACACATGTACACAGAAAACTAAGTATGTTTGTAGTTTAAAATTTGGTGTGGCAAAGTATATATCAGTATTCTTTCCCGTAGGCTTAAGCAACAGTTGTCACCACTGAACTATTGGTCTTCCAGGGAAAGCCCGTAAAGTTGGTATTCACACTATCTACAAAATAAGATGTTTTGATGTTTTGGTGGTGTTTTGAGGATGTCTCATAGAATGGGTAAAATGTCTAAAATGTCAAAATAGTTTTACCGACTTAACAAGCGAAAGACCGAGATTTCAGTGATATAAGTTAACAGTATGCTGTGATTGGTATGATTGTAAAATTTGTTTGCTTGAAAGTTGGTTGAAGAACGGTGGAAGAAACTTAACTTATCTCAAGTACTGCACAACTAAAATCTTGCAATACCTTTGGATTGTAGTAAGTTGTTGGACCAACAGGTTTATTCTCCGGAGGGTTGTATATCTTGACCAGTCCATCCTCAGTGTCCAGATATCCTTCAGCTCCTTTCTCAGGGATAGTCGTCACTTTAGTTGAGCTGTTGCGAGGAGGAGTGCCTCGTTGAATCTGTCATGAGGAAGTACTGTATGAGTCAAGGTTAAACTAGCTGAGTGGATACAAAATTCAAAATTGATCCAACTGTTGGATCATTGAACTAGTAAATGGTTTTGGCTAGAGGAACAGCTGATCTTAATAACAAAGCTACTCATCATATTCTCCACTCCCCCTGCATTTATTTTCAGCTTAAAGCGGGTCCACACATGCATCACCGAGCGCCAAGCAGATACACTCGTTAAATCATGACTAGATACTAGTGTGTGGACAGATATTCGTCTACTCGTCATTCCGAAAATGTCAGTGCTTGTTTTGTCCCACTCCGTGTTGGTCTTTTTCAACAACTACAGCAACAAAAAGACTGCTTTGAAGTGAGAAATGTATGGTCATCTCTGTTCAGGAATCGGCAAATATATCAACACAAAGTAGTTGGCCACCAGTCTAATATTCTGCGATTCAGAATGACGCATGTGCGGGCCTGCCTTTATTTAAACTAAGTACCTTTATAAAGTATGTTGCTGTCTCAGTGTAGTGATTGAAGGATTAATTATTAAGTACTGAAAAATCAAAATGTGGAAAATCAGGTATCTATCTAATCAAAAACATAATAATTGTCTGTTAATTTTGTTGGTCTTGAGATTTCAACGTGGTTATTGATTAATTTTGTTTAAACAATTTAAAATCAAACTTGTCCATTCTGTAGACACCTTAATAAGTACGTGTTTTAAGCATTATTTGTTAATTTTTTTAAATTACAAAAATACAGTAAAGTAGCCTAATGAAACAGCTTTGTACCATGGAATGTTTAAATAACTGAGTTAATATAAAGATTTGCGAAAACCTTTTGTGCATCACGCTGTACTTATAAAGCATTATTCAGAGCATTTTCTGCTTAAAGTTTAAAATTTAGAATTCAAGTTTTTTCATAAATTTGAGTTTTGTCAACACTGATACAAAACTAGCCAATGTATCCAATATAGCATCAACAATTTCACCTAAAGTTTTTAACCATAAATTAATTTTAACACTTACATGTCCATGCAGCTTCTTTGCCTCTCTTGTCAAATCTGGTCCAGCGATGTAATCTTTTTCTCTGTAATAGAACCTTGGTGCTCTGTTTTGTATAGTGGTTCCACCCTAGCAGGAATTTATGCATTGTAAATTTACTGTAGGGTTGTGAATAATATGAGTAATACAACATGTGCCTGTTTATTTATACTATAGCTAAGGGGCTTTTTTAATAATATTTTTTACCTACAGTTAGTTTTTTTAATATGTACATTATGAAATTGATGGTTTGATATTGTTTACCATTAAATTAAAAGTTTTAGATCAAAATTTATTATTCATCCCATATGTGTACAAACAGCGTCTTGAAGGAAGGTTATATTTATTCCCTTTCATATTATTCCCAAAAACGATTAGGAAATTTATATTGGAATGACTCATTTATATTGGAACCGTAAAATAAAAACTTTGATTACAAATAAGTACATTTTCTACCACATAAACATCCTGGGATACATGTTCTACCACATAAACCTTCTGGGATACATTTATCTGCAGAAACATGTTATTTATGTTTCAATGACAGCAGTTGGTGGCATATGCACCCTTATTAGTGGATTTTGTTGAGGTGCGTTTTGCAGTGATTTGATTTGTCATGTCTCCAGGGAATAAATGGGACAGCTTCTGAATCAGTTGTGGAACTGTAGTGCTAAACATCAGACACTGAGCCATAGTGACCGATTAACCTTTCCAAACCTTACCAAGATGTTTATCCATAGGCAAGCTTAGTCTACTGGTAATATCAACCCTCTCAATAGACTATGATAATTTATGCAGGCAATGGACCCTCTTACTGTATACAAGCACTATACAAGGTGAATAAAACGTCTACATACCTTTATTCCTACATTTTAGGATTTTTAGGTGTACTTACAACTATTCGATGCCTTCGAAAACATATTTTATATTTGTTTGGACTTGGGTTTCCTATGAGGCTTTTATTTGTGAACGAAATTGTTCTCAAACTGGATGAATTAAATTGAGTCTGTTCTCCTGTGAAAAGTTTTAACATTTACGATAAAAAATTAAAATTTTCACTTTAAATGGCTGAACCAACAAGTCTAAAATACCTAGGTAAAACAACCTACAAACCTTTATGCTGTATGTATAAGTTGGGTTAGCTGTATGTCTAAGCAGCTTTCATTTTACATGTATGATATAGGCTAGTAAATATAAAATCCCTTAAAACAACCTTTCCCAGTACATATATATTTTGTGTAGAATCGTAGAGTAAGAAAGATGATCCAAGACAAAATAATGCAAATGTAAAGAGAAAAAGTTTTTATAGACAAAAGAAACTTTATCAAACATGAATTTTCTGGAGACTCGAAATAACTTGCAGCCTTACATATTTCTTGAACAAGTTCTACCTAAATAGCTTGATTCTTTACTTGTGTAATATTTTACACTGCACTTACCAGCCCCACACTGACAGTTGGTGGTTTGATCAAAAATATCAGACAAGAGGTAAGTAGCAGGTCCAACATTTTCAGGAGTTGTATTGATATGTTTACTGAACCTTGGAGCTCTGTCATACATAATTCAATAATTTGTTCAATAAAAAATCGTTTTTATCAAGAGCACTTCTAAATCACTTAAATTTTCATAATTTTTATTCTTCTATATTCTTCTAATAAATAGTGTCATTTACATTTTGAGAAAATTGTTATTATGCAACTAACATAATTTATAACCTAACTTTTAAATAATAATATCAGAACTAACTGATAATAATAATAATAATAAGAACTGTTTATTTACTAACAAAACAGGTGTTAAACATTACCATTTTCTTAAAATTTATTTGTTGGTTACCATATAGCTTACCATACCTTTTTAAAAGTTTAAAATCTGAATTAATTATTTGTTAGATTAAAGAACCCCCTAAATCTATGATCAGTATTTTGTAAAATACATGTACACAAAATTGATTTTGCAAATTTAATATTTACATATTCAAATTCATTTAAACTGCTATATCTACAGCACATTCAGATCACATTTATACAACCGTACCAATTTCCATTAATAATAGTACATCTATAATTGTCACCACAACAATTATCTACAAAAAAATATCTTTGCACTTAGTTCTTGCAGGTTTATCATAGATATTATCAACACTGACCGACCGAAATCCTAACGAAAGTTTTGGAAAGACCACTGGCTTTATTTTATTCAAACTATTACTGCTACAGTTCAAATTCTGGCTGAACAAAACGGCACACGATTTTGTCTTCCTGTTCTGGAACTGTTTGATCATATAATCCTTTTGGTTCACACCCAAATATAGATTCTGCTTACTACTGACAGTTCTCATGTCACTTCCGGAAGGATCATAGTATAGCGGCGTACAGCATGATCTACTGTAAATAATCGCTCTAAACCCCACCCTGAACTTCCTATTGAAATACGCGTAAAGGATTGGGTTGATACAAGAATTTGAAGCACCCAACCACTGAGCAAAGGGAAGAATCATAAACACAATTACTTCCTCGGAAGAAGTCAATGGCCCTCCAAGTTTTATTCTCGTAAAGATGAGGTACAGCGGAAGCCAGGAGAAAGCGAACAGAATGATGACCGTCATCAACATCTTGACCACTTTGACCTTTGACTTCTGTATGATCTTGTCCGTTGCCTGGCGTAACTCTCCTGGAGGTCGGCGTAGGAAGACTTTGCGCCAGATGAGCAAGTAGCATGCTGTGATGATGGTTAGTGGTAGCAGGTAGCACATGAGCAGGTTGGCTATGATGAAGTAGACATTACCACTGTAGTTAGTCGGCCACACTTCTAGACAGGCCTGAAATATATGGTAAATTAAGATAGTTAGAATAGACGATACCAAACATTGATCGCCAGAAGATACCTGGAGGATACCAGAACCGTTTTAACAAGTTTTCAGGGACGTCGGTTTAACTGGAAAACCCATTATAAGGACTGGCCTCGGTCCCAAGGAGTCCGGATAAGAGGGAGTCTACTGTATGTCATCAATTTGCAAATGTAAAAACGTTAGTTAACAAAGTTTTGCAGATTCATCATAGAAATTCTCTTTAAAGCTAAGCGTGCACTGGGTCAGGACGGCACTGATGGACAGTAGGTACGGAATTTTCCAAAAATGTTTAGCATTGATTTTCCTATGTGTGCGAGCACTAGGCCGTCACGGTTGGGACAGGACCATACAAACTTTCTGCCATCCGAAAAGAAGTTTGGAAAAAGATTTCTAGGACATCCTGAGGTTCCATACCGATGAGTCCACTGTTACGCCCACGTCTTTTGGTTCGGAGGGTACGGACCCAGTGGGTGCAGATAACCTAAACCAACTAAATATTCAGTTACTTTAATGGAATGGCTGTCTTGAGGAGGAATCGTTTCAACACCTCCAACATATGATTAGATTACATTTTAAATTTTTTTGACACACCAGGACTGTGTATTTTAAGGCGAAGAGGAGTGAAGAATTGTAGAATGAATCATATGATACAGCGAGGTGATTATAAGGCATCTTTAAACACTCTGGCTCTCTGAACCCGGCTCAAGAAACAAACAAGGTAGAAACACAATGTTGTGTGTTTTAACAATAACAATAGGCCCCACTAGAAAAACAGGCCATGCTGCAGCACGGGCAGCACAACACTGTGTCACAGTGGTGGATAGTTGAACTAAAATCTGACAAACAACCAGCTTATTTACCTAAAACACATGGGATATGGCAGTGAATCTATCTACAAGTGTGACGTCATGGATCCTGCAGCACGTCCTGTTTTTCTAGTGGGACCTTGGTTTTAAGCTTATTATGAGGAAAAATAAGTATAGAATTTCACTGTCTAAGATCAGCTGTTTCTTCAGCCAGGACCATTTAATAAGAGCTAGATCAAGGATACAACTAGGTTCAGTTGAAAGCAACCAAAAAGCTACTGGATTTACAGGATCAAATCAGCAACCTTATGACTACTAAGCGAGCACTATAACCACTCAGCCACCCACATAAATATTTCAGGTCTTTCCTAAATTAACCTCCCTAAACGATTTTCATCCTGACCTGCTCTTCACTGCCTTCATACAGTGGTTGCAGCTTGAAGAAGACAGCCCAAGGCAGAGTAATGGTGAGTGACAGCAGCCATATCGCTAGGATCGCTCGCTTGCTAACTCGAGAGGAGATCTGCCACTTGAGCGGGTAGCAGATAGCGAAGCAACGCTCCACAGATATCGCTACAAGAGTATTAATAGAGGCGTTGACAGACACTCCCTGAAGGTAGGGGATGATCTTGCAAATTAACCAGCCCATGGTCCATGCTGTGAACAATACGGGAGATATAAATGACTCTGGTAAATATAAAACATACCAGAGTGTATAACAAAAATTTTATATTTTTTGTAAAATAATAAAGTCTAAATTATAATGTTAACAGAGGAGTTGGAGCTTGAAGAAAGACTTTGATACTTTATCAAATTCTTATTAGTATTGACAGAATACTACCTCATACTACCATTTTCACTTTAGTTGTGTGTTTTTTTTGTTTTTTTTTCAAAAAGGTTAATAGAGGATTTAACATAATAGGGGAGTAAGTAATCTGTTCCGAGTACTAAAAACAAACAAAAATTCTGGACTGGAAATGTTATCAAGAGGGTATATGGAGCTATGATCAAACAAATATGGAAGAAAACTCCCTGAAAGAGGACACCTCAAGAAGAGGTAAAAGATAAAGTAACAATAGACAAATTTAGATCATTGTGAGCTGATGAATAATATGCAGGGGATTGGATGAAATGGAGATTGTTAGTTGGTGAGGCCAAATATCTTCTTTGGTATTTAAATAATAATGGGAGTAAGAAATATTAATTAAGTAATCACAATGCAGTCATATCCAATAAGAGGTGTTTATGCTGGGTTTTAGCCACCTCTAAAATATTATAAACTAGCTGGCCCGACAGACGTCGTCCTGTCCTAATGTGGTTTTATGTCAAATGCTCGTTCATTTTCAAGATGAGCTCGTTCGCATAGCTCAATCACGTCCGGGTTAGATTTCGTTCGCTACGCTCACTCACCTTTAGGTTGGAGCTTGTTCACTGCGCTCACTTGCCTTCAGGTTTAGCTCGTTCGCTACGCTAACTTGCCTCCAGGTTGAAGTTCGTTTGCTACGCTCACTCACCTTTTGGATGCAAATTTGCTGTTGTCATAAATTTAAAAAAATAATAGTGCTGCACCCTGTTGATAAACCTATTAACTTTGTAATGTTATTAAACATCACAGAATCAAATTGTTTAGTTGAACCAGCTGTTAAGATTCTTTAATTCCATTTAAATGAGTACTCATAAGGTAAACATGGGAAACTTCAGAGCCACTGGGGCGGAGCCCTTTTGACAGATCTGCACCAAACTTCACATAAACCATCCTCGAAAAATCTTAATAATGCTTGAAAGTTTCATTACAATCTGTCGAGCGGTTTCGGAGTCCATGAAGGACAAACAAACAAACATACACACATTGGATTTTATATATATAGATTAGGCTAATTGATTACTAACATTATCTGGCTATTTTCCTTTGCACTTTTCAAACCTAGATTAATTTTAACACAATGAAATTTCAAGCATAATCTGTCTTGATCTCCATACAAGACATAATATTAGTTTGCTTGATGGCTAGGCTACACAGTAAAAATGTAGAACCATATGTGTCCCATTCAAGCAAAATCAACCTTTAACAATGGGGACAACCAAACTTTGCTTTGTCCAACAGTTTTAATGCAAGACAATGTTTCGATCTGCAATACATATTTCACTAAGTCTTGGCTTCCAGCTTCCACAAACCTCTGGCTGCTTATTTCTGTTTCCCCAGTCCATATAAGTTTTCTTATGTCCCACTCATGGACTATTTTGTAAAGCAAATTTTGGTAGTAGGTAAAATGGACAAAGTTGAACTTAGGGCAAAAAGACTAATTCAGGAACATGAATAATTAATTTACAACAAAAAAGAGAAACATCCGAATCTTATTCTTTGCCAGGATTCATGATTTTCATACCTGACATGATATTGCTTGTTAGTGTGAAAGGCAAACAAATAATGTTCACCAAGAGATCGGCGCAGGCGAGGTTGGCGATGAAGAGGTTGGTAGACGACCTCATCTTGGGACTACGACAGACAACCATTACGACACATGTGTTGCCAACGACGCCAATGATGAACACACTTACGTACGCCACACACAGCAGCACCTGGAGAGAGTAATTCGTGGTTACAACAAGAAACTATTTTTATGTTAATTTATAAAGTTTTAAGTCAGGGAACGAACCACACTCTAATATTTGAACTGGCTCTCTGATCTGTTGCTGCTCAATGAACATTAATCACTCATCAACCACCATTTTTTTTTCTTTTGGGGGGGGGGCTTATTTTTTACACAATGACAAATATATAGACTCACAACTGCTGAAAGTTGTTCTAGACACAACTCCTGCCCGATCACGTAGTGTGCTTACCAACAGTATTATCTCTTTTTTTATCACAAAATGTTTGTGTGTGTACATGTTCTATTTTTTACTGATATTGGCGACCTTCGAATGAAGAGACAAGACATCTGTAGTGGCCTGAAGATGACTCCAGTGTTGAGTTGAAACTAGTTGCCATAACACAATCGATCAAAAGGCTTGGTAACTATAAACATATATTTGGACGGG